CCCCCACCCCCCCCCCCGCTGTCAGCCCCATGTATTCCCCCAGCCCCGAGGAGACACCCCAGGAGCCCGAGCCCTCCAAATGTGAGGAAAAGAAGAAGGGGAAACGCCTGCAGCCAGAGCCCAGCATCCAAACCCTCACTGAGGCCGGCCTCAGAGCCCTCCGGGCAGGCCAGAGCCAAGTAGCCATGGTCAGCTTCCAGAAGGCCTTTCTCCTGGCCTCAGGGGCGCCGCAGCTCCAAGACACCTCTGTCCTTCGGGCCTGTGCCTTCAACCTGGGGGCCGCCTATGTGGAGACTGGGGACCCTGCCAGAGGCCTGGCGCTGCTCCTGAGATCCCAGCCGGAAGTCAAGGCCCAGGGCAGGCGTCACGGAGACCAGTGTTTCAATGTGGCCTTGGCCTACCATGCGCTTGGCGACCTGCCCCAAGCTTTGGGCTGGTACCACAAGGCCCTGGCCCATTACCAGCCACAAGGTGACCAGGGAGGAACGCAGGCAAAGATGGGTGCCTGCTACCAGGCCCTGGGGCGGCCTGAGAAAGCTGTGCACTGCCTGAGAGAGGCAAGCCAGGCCTACACGCAGGTGGGCCAGCCGCGGGCCGCAGCCCTGGCACTGGGGGCTGTGGCCAGGTGTATGCTGCAGAGCGGGCGGCACCAGGCTGGGGAGGTGCTGCAGGTGCTGGAGGAGAGCCGGAGGCTTGCTGAGACCAGCATGGAGCCGGGCCTGCTGGGTGAGGCCTTGAGCAGTGAAGGTGTGGGGCGGGGAGCCCCTGAGGGCTGTGGGGACCCCAGAGCAGTGGATGGGATCGCACCCCTGCGGCCCGTGGTGAGGGCCGGTTTGGCCCTCAGGGACCCCTCTGCTCTCTAGGGCATCTCTACAACGACCTAGGCCTGGGCTACGCCCAGCTGCAGTTGTTCCCTCTGGCTGCGGAAGTCTTCCTGCAGGCCCTGCCCCTGTGCCGGCAGCCAGGAGAGCGCGCCACAGTGCTGAGGAACCTGGGGATGGCCCACAACGCCGTCGGCAACTATAGAGAAGCCCAAGACTCTCACCAGAAGGCTGCCGACCTGCACGGTGGGTGCCTGAGGCTCCGGCCACACCGAGGGAGTAAGAGGAAGCTCCCCTGGTGCCATGCCTCAGAATGGCCCTGGAAGCCCTGATCTAGTGGGGAGGCTGGGGCACTCGGATGGAAGAGGCAGCAGTGCTTGGGGAGAGGAGGCCGGAGGGGAGCTCAGCCTGGCCAGCCCCTTCAGGTGGCTCTCAGTAAGTCACTGCCTCTCTGAGCTTCAGCTCCCCTCCCCACATATGCAAACAGAGCCACTGACACCTCCTCACCCATCTCACAAGGTTGCTTCGTGGCTTAAACCAGCTGCCGGGCCTGCAGGGAGAGGCCGGGCTGCTGTGGCCATGTGGATGCCCATCGAGGCTGGGCACCAGGGCCCCTGGGCTCTCCCGGCGGGCACAGCGCCCTTAGGGTGGTGCCCTCCGTCCTCAGGCTCCGTGGGACAGCGGTGGGAGCAGGGCCGCAGCTTCGCTGGCCTGGCATTCGCACTGAGCCAGCTGGGGGACCACGGGGCGGCCAGAGACAACTACCTGCATGCCCTGCAGGCTGCCCGGGACACTGGTAAGGGCGAGGGGCGTGGCATGGGACTTGGGGGTCAAAGACAGAACCCTTGGGGCTGCCGGAGAGGCAGGGGCTGGGGGTGGAGGGCAGTATTTCTGGAGGCAGGGTGGGGAGCAGTGGGGGACCTTCGGGGCTCTCTTCCCCAGGGGATGTGAAGGGGCAGTGGCAGGCCTGCGAGGGACTCGGGGCTGCCGCCGCCAGACTGGGGCAGTATGAGCAGGCCTTGAAGTACTACAAGGAAGCGCTGGCCCAGGGTCAGGTGAGAGCTGACCCTCCCCGCCACCCCTCCTTCAGAAGCCTTCTAGATCCCACGCCTGTCCTTGCTCCTGTCTCCCTCCCACCATCATTCACGCACTCACGGACCATGCACCGCACACGGCGTGGCCACTCTAGGGAAGAGCTGGGCTCTGGCGTCAATGCAGGGTCTGAAAAGCAAGGGAACAGGGTAGGAAGGAGACAAAAGCTCCCTCCCCTCCTTGCTTTCCTCTTTCTTTCTCCCCAGTCCTCCCTCACCTCCCGCACTATCCTCCCCGCCAGAAAGAGCCGGATTCCACCCGAGGACGGCTGGTTGCCAAGCTGGCAGACGCCGTGAGGAACTGCTTGACCCAGGTGGGCGGGCCCAGGGTCACTCCTGGTGAGATGACACCTGACCGGGAGCTGGGGGGTACAGACAAGGCTGGGGTAGCAGGCCTGATGTTCTCTGGCTACCAGCACTGCCCTGGGCCTGGCCGTACACATCCCAGGCCCGAGCTGGGAGGCAGGGCTTTGGCTGGGTGCTCAGCAGCCCATGGGGGAGGCCAAGGATCTTAACACCCTAACGCGCACGGTGGAAACAGGGTTAAGTCCCTGGCTGCAGTTCCCAGAGCGGCCACAGGGTGGGGCTGGTGCGCCGAGGAAGTCCTCAACCCGCTCCAGGTTAGGGGCGTTGCTCAGCCTCCCCCACACTCTACCTCCCGGTTTTTCTTCTCTTGCCCTAGTCCCTCAATGGCCTCCTGCCTTGCGCTTTGTGATGCCCTTAGGAAACCTCCTCCCACACCAGGAATCAAAATACTTTAGAGTGCTTACTTTGTTATATATGTAGTAATAGGGTTTATAGCTTCTCATTTTAAAGATTGGACATCTTATTTATAATCTGCAAGCAAAATTAAATTATCCTAGATCTGGGTGTGCATCTCAGCGGTACAGCAGTGCCAAGCACGTGCAAGATCCTGGGGTTCATCCCCAGCTCTGAAAAAAAATTAGTTTGAGCTGGGTATGGGGGCACAGGGCTGTAATACTAGCACTTTGGAAGGCTGTAGTAGAAAGATCGCAAATTCAAGCCCAGCCTGGGCAATTTAGCGATTTAGTGAGATCCTGCCTCAAAAAGCAAAACAAAACATTTAAAAAAATAGCCTGGAACAGACAGGGAAGTCGACTGTGGTCAGCAGACCCAGGCCCCACCGAGCTTGGCCAACTCTGTGAGCTTCCAGACCAGGCCTGGGTCGGGTGGGCGGGTGGTCAGCTCCGGCCAGGCCCATGAGCCTGAGCTCCATCGTGAGAGCTGCCAATGGGATCCTTCACAGAACAAAGGCTTCAGCTGGGAACGGATTCTCAGTGGCGAGCAGCACGCCCGTCACCTCCAGGAAGCATTCTGTCTCCCGCACGCAGCAGCACAAGTGCTCACATGCACGGTGGGGACACCGTTCTCAGACTGGTCCCCCACGTCCCCTGCATTCTCAGACCCTGTTTCCTGGAAGGCCAGAGGCTCCGGGCAGGGCCCCCCTGGTAGCTGAGACTTCAGCCAGGACACCAAGGAGCTGGGCAGAGGCCCGAGGCAGGTGAGCGGTAGGGGGCTTTGGTGGGGGCCAGGGCTGCTGAGCGCTGGGTGAGAGAGGCAGAACTCACCGGCAGCCCAGGGAGGAACAGACCTGGCTGGGGTGCCCCTCCGCTGGGCCGCACCCCAGCTCCCTGCACAGCAGATCCCCCGGTGGATGGGAAGACGGAGAGGTGGAGGACAGACCCCGAGAGAAGGCTGAGGGGTCGGCCAGGGTTCCTGTGACGTTGGGGCCTCGGAGCCTGGAGTGAGTAGAAG